TCAGTGGTATTATATTCTTACGTCGCTTTGCCTTCTCGTAAGAAAACGCACGATAAAGTACATTCTAATGTAGCGCTAACGATTTTTTTCGAAGTAGGTTTCAAATCCAATTTAAGTTGTTGCTGACTAGATTCTAAAGTTGCATATTTCTTCATATTTATGTTTGTTGCAGCCACATGCCTTCTTTTACCGGTAGAAGAGACCTATTTGTACAGATAATTAATAGGAACATCCTTTTCAATTACTTCTGTGTAAAACATTTTTCTTACATCTTCAATCACAAATGTCCAATCTTTATCCTCTAATTCATGGGTCCTTGGATCTTTAAACAGAGTCACTGAAACTGTGTGATTGTCAGGAACTGCCCAACTAATAACCCCTTTTAAGGGATCGCTTAAACTTGGCTCCCAATCCAATGGTTCTGAGCTAACTCTTCTACTACGTCTTGTCCATACAACACTTAGCTTGTTTGGTTTCCTACATACAATATACATAGAAATTTGTAATAACTGGTATCAGCCAAAGGAATTAAAAAATTATGGTATGCTTACCATTTTGTAGTTGTTTCTAAAGTAACTTCATGATAAGAAACGGTGAATTCAAACTTTGCAGCTCTCTTGTTTACTCGTTGCAGTCGTTTCCAAACGGAACTCATGTTCTTATTTATAATAGTTGTTTGTTCGGATGATTGTCACTATACGTTGTTCAACTTGCGATTACTTACAAACGCGTTGAATCTGGCACATCATTTCTTCATGAGAAATTATGAAAATTCTGAGATCTATCGTTCACAAAGGATATTATTTGATCTATACTACTTAAGTGTTAAAATCGCTCATGCGTCTGATACCACTACTTGTAGTTATGCACTACGAGATCATTTATTTCTTTAAACAGCTTCTTGCACGTATCGTTATCATGTTTTTAATCGCAATGTCATGCACATATAAAATACGTTACACTTCGATATCACGGTAAATGAAGAAACAGCCACAAGATCAAAAAGTTTCACAATCTATTCGATCTTGTGCTGTGACGAAACCATTCTAATTTATTGATCTTATACTATACGATTCTATGGTAGGAAACCTACTTACTACGACTAAATATATTTTTAGCAATAGTAGTTTATTTGAAACTTCTTGCGAAGAAGTCTTCATAAATCATTATATAATTTGTTGAAGGGAGTGACATTAACTATAATTGTAAATACTTGAAGAATTTTATTGGTAAATATAAAAGTTACATCTATCGGTATAGAAAGTAAAGAATATATACATTTATATGCTTGTGGATATCTTATGCAAATAATTATACAATAAGTAGATAATTTAATTTTATTATTAACATTTTATATGTTGTTCCAACTAGAAAATCTAGAGGGTGCTGGAAACTTGCTGTTGCATACTATTGAGATAGTTCATCTAAGCATTATATTTTTCCAAGAAAATGCTATTAGCAATAATCCGTGCGCTAATTATCTTCGAAGAATAAAGAATATTCACCCTGGGGGTTGACTTGTGCCCAGTATGGTGCTGCACCTCCCAGCTAACTCTTGTAAAAAGTAGAAATCTGTAAATGATATCCAAATTATCATATACAAGAACCACGCTGACAACCATTTTGAGGTGAAACTTCGGAAAACCGTCATGCTCCAATTTAGGCCACATTTTGCAAATAAGCTCCATTTTGCAAAAGGAAATATCTGTGAAAATGGATTTTGCCAATTTGAAATTTTTTTACCCATTTTGATGTCGTTCCCTACTTTGCCGACTGTCACGTGTGAAGCAGTGTGACGATCCCATTGGCCGGTAGAGCGTGCGACTGTTTCGCGATTGGTTGCTACGGCTTGTATACCTGACAACTGAGAATGCCGGGCCGGCGTATTTTCGCCACGCGATCATTTACAGCACAGTGCGCGCGGCGTTGAACGTGTAAGTGTCGGTACGCGACGAGTGCGCGCCAACTACGATTACACGTTATTTGAGTTAAGAATTTCCGTGATCAAAATGTGACATTTGGTGGATGTCAACGATGATCGGAAAGTACGTCGACCAGTGGAACGAACTTGACCCTGAGCGAAAGTGACAGCGTCCTTTGTACGGAGAACACTTCCGGAGAACATGAGATTCCCGTAACGAACCAAAGGTACATACGTGCAGTTATATACTCCGATGACACTCGCGTTTCGATAGCGTTCTCAGCTTACTTAAAGAAACTGATTTCTTTGAAAACCGCATTCGGTTACCGTTCCTAGAAACTTAAAAATACTTTTGGGAGAATGTCATTCACGATTAAATGGTCTTTCGTTCCGAGCAGCCCATTCATGTTTTGCTCTCGTTATTAATCTCGTCGCACTTCCGGGAAGCGACCTAACTATCGAATTGTCTCGTTGTTTACATTCGACTGCAGCTTCGAGTTAAGCAACTGATATAAGAACACGGTATTAGTAAGGCCGTGTCTTGTAAGATTTTACGTTCACCTACATATGCAGTTACTTCTTTTCTCGAATCGAGCAGTATCTAGCTAAAACAAATGATAAGAGAATGTTTGTGTTTACCGTAGTTCCCACGAACGATTATTGTATCCGGCTATGCACGCGACTGTTGGCAAACTGGCACGACTTATGCATATTGCATGCGTACAGTGTCACTAGCCGGAGGGTTTACCGCGTCCCAAGCGCTTCTAAACAGCATAGCCGTGTTTCGTTGGTATCTCTCATTGTTTTCCCGTGTACCGCGAACCCGTGATCGCGATTTTCACGATAACGATGGGAATATAAAGGCGGATGAAATTGTTACGTCCAGCGTATCAAATCTATTCTTTCTCTCAATCTCTACGTCTGCTTCATATTCTACGCAGAGCCGAGCTACTTCGCGCTCGATTTTCTGCAGAGTAACCGCAATAACGTCGAATCGATCGTCACAGTAGGATAACAGATTACAGTCAGCTTTTGTGTCGTTGCCGTGGATCGTAGCCGGCGGTAACCGCGAAGACGTTCGCGGTCTTCCCTCGAACAAAGAAGTTCCTTCATTGTTGGGAACGGCGCGTACACTCGAGTGCTTCCACTGCTTCGAGTGCGCTCCTCGTTAACATTCTTCGTTAATCTCTTTTCGAAAAACGTTCACACGCGCTCGTTGAAACGACCAGAGATTCGAATAACGAAGCGCGCGCTACCTTATTCGGTAACGGAGGTTAGGTCACGTGGATGGGCGGTTTAAAAATTTGCGCGGGAAAATTGAAATTGAAATCGTCGATTGATACACCTGTTGAAGCGATAGACGAACCGAGGTAAAAGTGAAAGCATCGCGAGCAACTCTTCCTGCATTCGGCCTACTCTGTATTTATATCTCGTCGCGTGCACTCTAGCCAAAGAGTAGTTATATCTACTATTCGGTTCAAAGTTGGTGGAGAAAATGAAGGAAATTCCGTGCATAATCGGTGCGGTAACTCGCGTGGGTGTCCCTGCCGCGGTGTATCGGTACAGGTAGACACGTGAACGCGCCAGGTGTAAATAAAAGCGAACGCGTAACCCTCGGTTAGCGAAGCGCGGCCAAGCGTAACGTTTTCTTTCGTCCCATTGTCAGCTGGTCGCCTCTCTCTTCTCTTTCCTCAACGCCCATTGCCCTTATTATCATAAGAATCATTCTCGTCGACGGTAATGCTCGCCGCACGAGGACCGAGGAAAATTCTCTTCTCTTCACGAATTCTTGCGTTCGATAAATGAACGTCGGTGGATGAAAAGGTCTGCGCGCATTGATAGTTGGGATAGCTCGAAATAGATGGTTGGTATTATAATTAGAAGCAATTAGGAGAAACCGTGCGAGCGAACGAGGAAGCAGGATCGAGCGTGTAATCTAGGCGATTAGGATTGAGAAAATGGAAAAGAGCCGAGGGACAGCTGTGCCTCGACTCTAGTTGCACGCACAGAGAGTATTTATATCCTTGGCTGCGATCGAAAGAACCCTGTGTGGCACTCTTCGAGAATCGTTTTCTTTCCTTTTTATTTTTATCATCACTTTTCCTTCGCCTTTGCGAATTGTCTCCTACTCTTGCCCCTTAATTCGCCCTTCGATTCAGGGGCCTTTTCCCTTGGGAATTCACGCTGGAAACCGCGCTCCGCGTATGGAACCGCTCGCGCGAGCATTAATTGACGCGATAATCTCAGCGCATTCCCTCGCGTAAACGCACAGGTACAAAGGATGCGTACTCGCGAGATTCCATCGGGAAACCTGTTCCTACCGTCAGGGTCGTCGTCAGAATTTACCGCGGATTTACCTGATAATCCTAACCCACTTATCGATCCTCGATATCTATTCAACTTCCTAACCCGTCCTCCGTTTCTATCTTTCCCCGATTTTTCTTCGACTCCACCGTACTTGACTTCCATTTAACTCGATGTGTGTCGAGGGAGCAGTCGATTGTCCGATGATCGAGTTTAATTAATCCAGCTAGACGAGATCGTGAGACGGTCATCTTCGAATCGAGCCAGACGAATAAGTCGGCCACCGAAAATCTCGGGCAATGTTGCTCGATTTCTTTTCTCTTCTCTACGAGGCTCGTGATTTATTCGCCCATCGGCCCCGGTGAAGAGAATCGAAGGATAGGGCTAGGGTAGTAGGCAGAGAAAGCGAAAGCTGGCTATTATAGTCGAGTTTATAAATTACGAGTGTGTTCATGGCGGTGACGCTGCGATCGAGCAATGCTCACTGCCGATAGCCCACAGTTTTCGACCCTATACTTATAGCGGATAATCGACGCAATATACCGCGCTTATTAGTGGATATAATAAGACGAAGTGGTTCCGAACTATTCCGACCTGAAATCGCAGCCTGACGAAAGAAATAGCTTCGACATGAGTCGGAAAAATTATCATTCATAAGTATCAATTTTCTATCAGTTCATTCCGATGAAAGGATACATCAGGATACTTAACGATAAAATACTTAAAAATTATTTTTTATTCTTGTGTAAATTAATAATTTAAAAAATATGATATTATGAAAAAAAAAAGATTGGAGATGCCGGGGATCGAACCCGGGGCCTTTCACATGCAAAGCGAACGCTCTACCACTGAGCTACATCCCCTCTTGAAAGAACCTCTGATAAAGCACTAATACTTCTACTTTACCATTCGAGTTGAATGTAATTGATTATTTAACATCACGGATTACGATAAGGCCTTGATTATCCAAGTAAATATTTTCTATTCAAGGAGTTATATAATTGAATCGCAAACAGAAGCAGCTGCCATCGTCCGCCGTTTTATTCTTAGCCAATCACTTACATTTCTTACAATTGCGAAACGATGCACCGGATAGATCGGGAATGTTAAACCCGCGGAGAGAAGCGCGTTTTGTCATCGCGGGACGAGGAAACCCGCGGACGCGAAGCGGAATGAAATTCACGCGAAGGAATTTCCGTTCATTAAGATCGTTCCACTTTTCCGATCGAAAGGATATCGCAACTGTTGCCGTGATCGATGCATCGAACACGTTGTTATCGACGGTTCTACACCGTTTTTCCTGCTATGCGGTTTTTGTTCCGCAACCAACGTTTCAACGTTTCCCACGAAAGAGTTCGTTAACGGGGGTATTAAATAACTTTTGAAACTTTGTTGTGGGTGGAAGAGGGTATTTTTAAATTGAAGAAAAAACGTTTCTGCATCCACAGGGAGAATGACAATGTAGCAAAGAAGGCCCCTATGGAAGTCTGATTCGATCGCGAAAGGAGCACAGACCGCCGTCGTGTTTCTTACCAAGAAGCTTCGATATCTAACGGCCGTTCCTCGATCCGAATCGAGGAATTAGCAAAGCAAATAGGAGGAGGCTGCGATGATAATAAGCGCGGAACGAAAGGCACGGATTAATGGGCCGGATCGAGGGCCACCGTGGAAAGAGGGAATGTCGTAATCGCGATACTGTGTCGAAAAATTCGAGCGAGTCGTGGCTGTAACAGGGCCACGCTCTCGTATAATGCTCTATTGTTGTTTCCACGATATCACTGGGTACACGAGAAAGGAATAACGGAGAGGAATCGCTGGTTCTATCGTTGCCGAACGATCGAGTCAAAGAATTCCGAAGGCATGCGACTCGTCAGGGACGATTTCGCTAGATCTCTACATTCGCGGTGGTTAAAACGAGTTGTATTAATTAGGGAAAAGATAGCCAATCAAATCGATACCCGTCGCCGTTTGATCGCGTTCGAGGGTGGAGAACAGGTCCGAGGCGATGTCTGCAAATAATTTGCAACGAATATCCTCGATTCACCACCCTCTGATGTAACGTATAGCGGCGTTCGTAATGTTAGCCCTTGCCCACCCTGTGCACCGACATATGGTGCGACACGTGCGACCAAACAACCGGTTTCCACGCCTAACTACACGTTCTCTCAAACGTTACGATACTTCATTAGCACGTCTTCCAAAACGGCCATCTTTCTCCTTTAAAACAAGATCCGAAGGAGAAATTTATCGATCGATTGTAGCTCGATTTTTCGATTGCCAAGTTTTCAAAGTTAGTTAACCTGTTCTTTGCTGTTAAAAATGATCTCGGGATCAAACGCAAGCTAGGGGCACAAGTTTGCCCGCGAGTGGATGGGCACTATGGGCACGCGTCTTCCCAACGTGACTAATCGCCGAGTGCCGCGTAACCACACACGTGCTGGCTCGTGTACGTTTCCTTGCTAATTGTCTACGCGCAAGGCGGACCGTCGAAATCGCTTCCCGATTAATCAACGACCGAAGCAATTACCGCACACGCTCGACCGGAACGAGCTCGAGGAGGAATCGGTATCTCGAAGGGTCCGCCACGCGCCACCAGATATCCCTACGACATCCCTTCTCGATTCTTCTTCTTTACCTTCTTTTATATCGCTTTTTCAGAAACATGTTGGTTCCTTTATCCGGCTCTGACCTTTGCATATCGATTTTCTTTCTAACGATCAAAAGTTTGTTTCAAGTTTGTTGCCCAGAAAAGGTGGCGAGTGAAACGATCAGTCGAGCCGTGCAATGGCTAATTAGTTCTCATCTACGCTTCTAAGGCTGCCGTCTCTTCTTACGTTGCACCGTTCTATTCACTGTCCGTTCAATTAGAGGTTAACCAATTAACGATGAAACGCCTTGGTAAAGGGTTCGCTGCAGCTGACGCGCACCCCTTTGGAAAACGCTCCATTTCCTTCCGATGCTTATCGAACGCAACCTTAATTTCCCTTTACCTTTGAAACACGTATGTTTTATAGAGGTTTTGATTTTTTATAGCTTCGGGTTTCAATTTAAAAATTTGCAAATCTACAAAACTTATTTTACAATTTTTCATCCACGAACGTAGGAGAAAGTGAACGAAAAACGTGACGTTTTTTGTTTTTTATGGTTTATGGGTACTTTCGACCATCTTATTCGGCTCTTTTCACGATGCAACTTGACATTCTTTCTTCGTCGACTTTGTTCGATTAACAGGAAGCTCACCTTGGAAAGTGGTTCCGCATGGTCTCGCGCCATACCGTCCTCGAATGATATTCGAGGCTGTCAGGATTTTCTTCGTGCCATTCGGTGACTTGTTCGTTGGAAACGCGTTTCCCTTATTATCATTCAATCGGCGATACTCGATCCTGTTAGTTTCGCGTAATGCGTCACCACCGGTTGACTCAGACTCGATTGATGCGTGGAATTAATCCCGAATCGTTTGGTTGGTAATGAAAACGCGACGGAGATTAGTTATATCGATTCGATCGCTTTCCTCCGGATTTCTTCCCTTTACTGCTATTCATTTCCAAGCCTGAAATTTATTACGCTTTATTGGGAATCATGAGAACGCGTTGAAATAGTTGGCGAAAAAATCGGAGCAATTTTAAGAGAGAACGAAAGGAAATGGTGAGCTCGCGATCGCAGAGGATCCATCGAAGATCCACGAGGTCGATGACGTCAGAGACTTGGCGGGATCAATCGGAGAGTCAAGTCGCGATAATTGCGACAATCGTCGGGATGCTCCCCAACTAGATGCTTAATTCCGCTCCCTCGTTCGTCGCAACTCTCTTTCGCCGTTCAATTTACGGCCCCTCGCGCTATTTACTTATCGCTCGGAAGATTGCCGATCGTTAATTGCCCGGTTTTTCCACCTACATTTCCCTCCGGAACGAAAGCGAACCCGAAATCTTCTACCTAATCAGGTTTCCACTTGGAACCACATTCGAAATCGTTTATCTGGAAATGAAATTCGATTGAATAAGAAACGTTCCGCGAATCATAATTGCGATCGTTTATTTCTCTTTGCGAAGCGTATCGGAGAAGATCGAGGAAAAAGGAGAGAGAGAGAGAGCAAAAGTCGCTGTGGAATGTTAAATGGACGGTGGAGGGAAGGTGGTGCAATATCGTAGCTCGCAATATCGATTAATTTAGCGGTCATAAAGAGGTTCTGAATCGGTTGTCGTGGGAGCGTCCGGTTTTTTCTCTACCCACATTCGATAAACGAATCGATAAACGAATCGTTGGTGGTTCGTTTCCTCGAGCTAAGCGGACGGTGGAAAAAACGGGCCGCCGATCATCGGGGACACGATAATTGGCCGACGCAGCCCACGAAACGTTTAATTATCTTTAAGCGTACACCGTGTTCTTTCGTAGGGGAGCGTAAGTTGTCACGAATCGATCAGCGATCCTCGATCGTAGAGAGAAGATGCGCTCGAAAATTCGATCCTTTATCGTTTTCAGATGGAGAACCAAGCTTTCGAGGAGGAGCAACAACCGCGGCTCGAAGAGACCGCGAATCCGCGCTCCTTCAGTTTCCGTTCGTCGAGCAGGCTCGAAGAAACGGACACGGATAACCACGTGTACGAGGACATTTTACCCGGGATAGAAGAAATATCGACGTCTTCCGACGTCGAGGATCTTCGATCAAAGACCAGCGTTCAGCGTTCGTTCGACATCGTCGATTACGCGTCTCGAGAAGACGAAACAGAGATATCCGGTGCGTTTCGACGCAATCACACCTTGCCTTTTCGTCGAGGTGTCGGCCTCGATTCGCTCGCCACCAGTTCCTCCGTTCGTCTGACGAATCGAAGGAGGAACGCGTGCACCCAGGAGGCGGAAGTCGGGCCAGGAAACACGGTCCTCGTCGACGATGCATTCGGCCAATTGACTACCTTGCAGATCGAATGCAAACCGAACAGAAGACGCAGAAAGAAGGACTGCAAACACTGTAGGAACAAGGCTGCCTCCTCGACGAACGATGAAAACGACACGGTTCTAAGGAAGAACAGAGACAATCAGCAAAGTTCGTACGCGGTGGAGTCAAAAGCTCCTCTAACGATACTCGATCCGAGTCATTTATCCGATATACCCGCGGTGTCGTCTGTAAAAAGGATGGACGAGGTGAACGGATGCAACAACTTGTCCTCGGTGTTTAGCATCTCGGAAAAGGTAGCAGGATCGAAGCTGATCGAGTACGAGCGAAACAATGGACATCGGAATCTTGTCAAGCCGACGGAGATGAAGGGAAACGACGTAGTTTCATCGGAGAAGAAAACGCGAACGGGGATGAGGGTGAACTCTATCTACTCTCAGGATCGCTGGTACGCGAAGGAGACGTCTAATATATTCTTCACCGATGTCAAGGAACACTCTTCCTTTCAGGTGAGTGCAATTATTTTTTAATTATTTTATTAGTTTAACACTAGAACTATCAAAGGGGTAAAAATCAGTGGTTTCCAGTTCCTTATTTTTTAATTTTTATTTAAAAATTTTTAAATTATTTTATTAGTTCAACACTAGAACTACCAAAAGGATCCAAATTAGTGGTTTCCAGTTCCTTATTTTGTAATTTTTATTTAAAAATTTTTAAATTATTTTATTAGTTTAACACTAGAACTACCAAAAGGATCCAAATTAGTGGTTTCCAGTTCCTTATTTTGTAATTTTTATTTAAAAATTTTTTAATTATTTTATTAGTTTAACACTAGAACTACCAAAAGGGTTCAAATTAGTGGTTTCCAGTTCCTTATTTTTTAATTTGTATTTAAAAATTTTTTAATTATTAGTTTAAAAATTAGCTTACGTTTGTAACTCTGTCGTTTATACACAATCGCAACAGGTACCATTAGTTTTACATGATATATGGTCAATTGGAAATATTCAGAAGTAAAATAATGCAAATGTCTAATAAATTTATGTTTATAGCAGAAAAATGTTAATTTAGTTTTTAGTGGTAGATGATAGGTTGAGAATCACTTGCGCGAGAGTGAAAGTAGGTTGAGAACCGTTGTTCCATTGGGGAGCCGCTTGGGCTGACCGGTAGGTGGCGTCGAGCGGTACGCCTTTCTCGCAGCAGAAGTAGCGCAGGGGATAGGATAAGTTGACGCTCGAAGCGGAGGAAAGCATACTTACCTGGCGCAGAGGTTACCGTGATCAAGAAGGCGGTTCCTCCAGGGCGAGGCTTTTCCATTGCACTACGGTTAGGCTGACCCTTGCGAATACCCCTAATGTGGGTATCTCGGGCGTATAATTTTTGGTAGTCGGGACTGCGTTCGCGCTGTCCCGGATAATATAATTCAAACTTAATTTCTTCTATTCCCTACAGCTGATTTAATATCTTACAAAGAACTTAGAAATCAGTTCTTGAACTTTCATATAAGAGACATCTTTTTTATTTCCTTATTATAAAATAAGTTCTCTTGTACATTTGTTAAATGTACGATGTCAATGCATCAAGACGATTCAAGGAATTAAAAATGGACCTTTTTGTTATGTACCAAGGCAACGAAATACTTTACAAAATAGACCCTAATTCTAAAAAAGTCGATACGAATTATTATTTGAGAAAAGCCTTGAGCCAGCCCTGGTTGTAACATACATTTTCCCCGCCACTCATTCGTATAATTCCATACGTGTACGAAATAATCAACTATTTTTTCATCAGTACCACACCGAACCGGTTGTTAAATAATTATTTGAATCCCATCACTGAGCGAAACGCTTTCAGTTTCATTTGTATTCTAAACAGAGACGTCGAGTATAGTCTCGAGAGAGTATCCTTCGTTATTTGCAATTCCGTTTCGCGGCTCGAACATCGCGTCATTTCTTTTCTCGTCCCGGCCTTTTAGTTTTCAACTCTATCGTCGTACGACGGCTGTAATTATCGTAGCAACGAAAAAAACTTGGTATAATTATTCGGAAAATTAAACCCGATAATCACACTGGTTAATTTTAATAACACCGGTCGGTGTTCTTTTGCTCGAACGCAGTTGTCGCGTCTGGCGCTTGTCCGCCCTAAACAACCAAAACGGAACGGAAGTGGAAAACGTCTATCTATAGCCAGACGCGTTGATCCGTCTGCTCACATCGCGCCACGCTTCGAGTTTTCCGCGAGCGAACCTGCGTGAAATCAAACCGAAGGAAAATCCTGCGATTTACAAGCTGATCTATTTCGAAAAAAATCTTTTATGCACAGTTCCGAGGATGATAAAATCCTTTAGTAATTAAGTAATAAAGGTGTAACTTTGATAACCAAAGAACACTTTGCTCGATCGGTAGCTGAAATTCGAGACCGGAGAATTTCCAGGAAAGAAATTTTCGTTGAAAAAGAAATTTTTTGCTGAATAAAGATGCAAATGGGTTAACGCAAGCAGGTAAAGACCGAGAGCGCGAACCGATAGTCAGTTCGACGCGAACCATTGCCTCGACAGCTTCTTACGCTCTCGTAACACTGATATACTCGCGAGCAAATAAATCCTCATAATCGTGCGAAAAAATATCGTTCACCGACGTCGCGTCTAATTTTGTCCCGCCAGGGATCGCGGGTATGGAAGCGGAAACGATGACAGTTCGAAGAAAGTTCTTTGAAACGAGAATTAGCTTATCGAAAGGGTAATTGGAAATAGCTCGTCTTCTTACCGATGAATCATTAATATCTGATAGTCATCCTGCCGCGCCCGTGTTTGCTTCTGGAAACTAGTTTTGCAGATGATATCGGAAAATAGATAAAACGTTTAGATATCGAGGAATCGGCGGGCAGAAGTGTCAGTCGTCGGATAATGCGGTATCCATGGCAGAATATCAGGTGATGCTCTCTGTCGTTGCACAGGTGAAAAGTAACTAAACCGATATCGTTCGTTTCTTTCAGAGGGCCAATTCCCTGCCGCTGGGAAGCCAAACTCCGTCCTCCCAAAATCGCATCAACTTGCGACGAAGCGTCCGAGGAGAACCACCCCCGCATCCGGCCAGACTTCGGAAACATCGTCACGGTTGGACCATGCATCTGGCGCGTCCCATCGAGACTTCCGGATGCACCAGATCGCTCGTTCTCCTCTTGATTCTGATAGTAACGCTGCTGGGAATCGGCGCCATGGCACTCTACATCGTTTTCGGTGAGCGTTAAAATAAACGACCGTTCTTTGCCGGGTAATTAAGCCTGCTCGAACCGCGTGGACCAATCGTCGGGCCGAGGTTTCATTCGACGCAGCGAAATAATTGCGGGAACGAGATGAATTTAACCAGTGGGTCAACCGTGGCTCGCGTTTGCTCCCGCGATTCAACTCGACCAAACGATGCAGAAACGATCTTCGAGTCGCGCGTATGACGAGGAACGGCAAGTGGCGTTGACCGTTTATTTTCCAAGCGGCAGAGTTATTTCTGACCGGGCAATACCATTCTTTAACCGAGCTGTTGATGCTCGTTAAAGTGGCACGCTGTTATGCAGATGCCCGTCGTTCCAATTACGGTGAAATCTCTCTAGTTGTCCGTAAGCTGGGAAGCGAAAAGTGAACAATTTTTTGAAATAGACCTTGGAAGGACCTATCTAATGATACCCCGTTTAGGGTCCTAGCCCTTTGGGAACTCCCATTAGGGCTAGTGAGGTGTCCTGGCATATAGATTGGTAAAAGTTCCAAATCAATAGGTTTCACCAAGGGCTATCAGATTCATCCAATCATCCAAAAGTTCGCCCCATCGCTAAATCACTTGTAACCCATCAATCATCCTCTTACAGAACCCGAGAAGCTGCAAATGATTCAACAGTACCTGAAATCGTCGACGAACGAATCGTCGAACGGGAACACGCTGCTGGCAGGCACGTTTTTGCACGACGCGAGCAGCAGGGAATTGAACTATACTTCGACGACACCTGCGAATACCGTCGCGGCGAGTATTCTTTCGAACGGTGATCAATCGCTTCCGGAGAACACCATGGTGGAATTCGAAACGGAAGCCGCCAGTACTCAGACCGTGAATTCGACTCGATACTGCGACGATTGTTTGCCGGAGGAAGTTTGCGTGGCGTTGGTCGACGAGGAGGTACCGATCTGTCGGGTCAGCCTCGACCCCCGCGATCCGACTGGATGCGCCGGCTTTTGTCTGGTCAACAAGCAAAAGTGTCATCGTCTCGACGTGGATGCTTTTAGGTTCGTATCCCGTGAAATTCTCCTTCGTTCCTCCTTATTCGACGTTTCTCTATTCTTTTCCAAAGGTGCGTGGACATCGAGCACTATTGTCTGGACGACGAGTGGACCTGCTCGAACACCCTCTGCATCCCCGTCGACAAACGTTGCGACGGTCATATGAATTGTTACGACCATTCGGACGAGTACAATTGCGGTACGTAAGTACAGGATGTCTCAAAGGAAAGATGTAATTTCTTGTCGAGACACCTTACGCGCGTCGCATTAGCCCAGTTTCTTTCACCCGACGGTGTATAACCTTCTGTTATTATCGGCTTTACCGCTTTCTCACCGTTCCGTTGTTTGCGAGGCTTCGGTTTCCCATTTTTTACTCGAAATATTCCGAAACGATTCACAAAAATCATGCCTTTTCTTGCAGTCTGCGACCCGGAGACGCATTTCCAGTGCGGTAACGAGACTTCCTGCCTTCCGTTGGAAAAGAGATGCGACGGCAAGATAGATTGCTGGGACGCGGCCGACGAGATTAATTGCACGTTAGGTAAGATTACGCGTAACGACTCGCTCGTTGCGCGAGGCGGGAAAGGAGAAAAGCGTAGACGACTCGACGAATTATCGACTTGTCAAAATAATTATAAACTATTGTTGTTAGCCGTGTGAAACACGCTGGATAATTGTAAATTGTTTTCCGTGAGATCACTGCATAGTTCGTCGACCGTCTATCATCCTTTACCTCGATCTTTTTCTATTCTTTTTCCTCTCGGTGAAGGTCTTTCTCAACTTTGTTCTCTTGTTTTTTTTTCTGTTTCTCTTCGTAGGTCGTAATCTCGGTTGGTGTGAGTACATTTATACCGTAAAAATTCAATCTTTCGCATGTTTCACGCTTGATGTTCGAATTGGGTGACCATCTTTTCTGCGGTGCAAAACGGTACAGAGCCATTTCTGGAACACCCTGTATATTACTACTCGAAGCGAAAAGGGTTAAACCGTTTTACCCGCCGTTTGCACTCTTTTCACGAAATTAGTACACGCACAACGCTCTCTTTGATTTCACCTACACACAATACTGCTTTTGATTTAACACGATGCATCGAAAGATAAAACGAAATACAGCTCGTTTGTTAATAGGCTTGCGATACGCTTTTAAATAGGAAATTAATTTTTTCAATCGCCGTAAGTCTAGTTTGAATGCACGCAAAAACGTTGCTTCCCTTTGAATTTATACCATCGCAACAAGGTCTCTTTTGATATCAGCATGTCCATCGGGAAACGAGTTCACGTGCAGCAACGGGCAGTGCATATTGAAAGCGCGTTTTTGCGACGGCCTGCCGGACTGTCTCGACGGATCCGACGAACCCCACGGATGCCAAGGACGGTGCAACAAGCACGAATTTACATGCCAGTAAGTCGATTACAACGAACCGAAGAGATATTACATTCTTCCAACCGTAGATGAAACTTCTTCTTCTCGTTTTTTAGAAACAACAGATGCATCACGAAAGGAATGAAGTGCAACGGTGTCGACGATTGCGGGGACGGGACCGACGAGAGGCATTGTAAAGATCGAATTTCCTAGCCGATAATCACGCGTTACAGTATTCTTTTTCTATAACAGATAACCGTGTAAGTAATTGTACATAATTGTGTTGTATAGGCACACGCAGTGGTACGTAATAAATGGTTTTGACAATCGTAAATACTTAACACCAGGATAATAATTAGGAAACTATACTTTCTTCATTTTTATTTATACGTTATATTTCCAATTACAGTAGCAATTCTTTTTACCACAATGATTATTTTCTTGCGTGTCTTAACATTATTCTTCACCTATTGTGAATAAGATATATATAATATATGTACGTCTCTGTGTGTGTCTCTCTGTGTGTGTGTGTGTATTCATATAAGAAAGATCTTAACTTGGAAGGTCGATTATTTTTTACTCGTGAAATCGTACTTATACACACACGTACAAGAAGATTACGTATACGTAGCTATATTTTTGTATACAATTAATGATTCCTCGATGTTTTGTATAAAGTATTTTTCTTTTTTTTTTTCTCTTTTAAATGTATGCGACGTCAGAATTTCATCGCCGCTGAGTTTCTACCTAGTCTATTTTTACCTAAACGAAATGTTTCTCCTTTGAATAAAATATATACAAATTATATGATACGCACACGTTTCGGGGTATTGTTTTCAGAGCAGCGTCCTTCGAATCGTCGAAACGTTCATTCGTAACGAAGCAGTTTTATAGGAATTCGTCCGGTTCTCTCGGCGCGTCGAGATCGCGATAATGAATGACTGGTCGAAAGTCTCCACCACCGCCGCTGTAACGTTTAATAACAGTTAGAAACGTTTTTCTATTTTTAATTATGTTACATGCAATAAGTTAAGAGCGCGATATACGACCAACTGGACATAGGATACGAACGGAGAACATGGGATATGAAATAAAGGCACATGTATAATTATAGTAACAAATAATTTTATTTGTTATATATTTCTTCTCTTGTAAGATTACAGTGTCTGTCTCTGTTCTGTTTTCCGTTTCTTTAACAAAAAAAAGAGGACGGTATGAACAGTCTCTTTTTCTTTTCTTTTATATATGTATATATATTTTTCTTTTTAATTAAAATACACGTTACTTTATTCCCGTATCCTTTTTATGTACATAAATTGTAAACTTAATTCCGTACTAAATAGGAAAGAAATGTGCTGATTTTGTAACACGATAGATGCTAGTGTGTTACATAATCCAGACATAAATCTGTTAGCACATGTATCCAATATTGCATTATTTTTTCTCGAAATTTCTTACAAAACAATTTGAGCAGTGTACCCGATAAAACTTAGAACATGTCCATGTCTAGCTGGTCCAAATCATTATAACTAACAATAGGCCTCGAAGTTGAATCCGGTGCAGCCCTGTAAAACAGCGTGTATCGCCACGTTCAATACGACCAAATCAAATTTCGATACTGACTCTGACAGACGGTGTGTGTAAAGGGATCGTTTACTCGAAAATCGAGACAGTTTTAAAACGCATTTTACTCTGGTACAGATTCAACAATGGCACTTAATTCGTCCGAGAGATAATTACAAACAAGATGTCTCACCGTCCTCTATTGAATCCACCGCGGGTAGGACGCGGCATTCCAAATCCTCCACCGAATCCCGCACTGTAACTGGATCCGTAACCTCCTCTACTCACGTTGTAACCTCCTCCGTATCCTCCAAATCTGTGCAATTCAATCATTTAATTTAGAATTCAATAGTGCATTACGCCAATTACGCGTACACACTTACGTGCTACATCCGTAGGGGGTAAAACCCTCGCGTGTAGTTTCCCTCGGGGGTGCTTTGTTCCCCGGATGCTCTGGAAGCTGAGGTCTCTTTGGATCTCTCAAATAATTGTTGAAATATTCCGCTTCCGCCTTCACCTCCGCCACCTTTTCCGCGTGTTTGTTGAATATGTGCTTCCGGATGAAATCTGGTCCTTTGAATTTCTTCCCGCTAAGCGGGCATAGCCACTTGTCCTTCGACAATTCCTGAGTGTTCGCTTGTACGAATTTTTCAACCTCACTGATCGCTGAGTTAAGGATAAATCATGTACGATAACAATGGGATCACAAAATCTATTATTTAACCATAGGGGGACGGGGGGAAGGGGGAGCCAAAAAATCGATTTTTTTTTGGACATAGTAGAATAATTTCTTCGTAGAACAGCTGTTACATATAAAAAGGATACGCTTCAGCATTTTTGGCGCCCAGTTTATCGTACTCCTCTTGAGATAAAGTGGCAACAGGTTGCAAGAATGCAGCCATTTTGTTCTCAAAATTGCGACAATATTCCGATAATTCTGTGCTGGATACTTTGGCTGTCGGAGGCGAACCTCTGACATGCATTATTCCACATCTGTTCGGCATTTCGTCTTCGTTAGGATACTCACAATGATTGTAGTAATCGACCGAATGAACTATTCGTAAATAAAGAATCAATCTATCCAAAACCTAAATGAGAAGACAAGTTTTAAGAATCTAGTCGAATCTTTGTTATCCTGTAAGACGCACCTTGATTAAGGTCGGGTCTCTTTCGATCGGTCCATCCCCGTCGCCTCCCAATTGTCCCTCTTCTTGATCACCGGACATTCCTAATAATTCTTCTTCTTCCGCTGATGCCTCTTCTATCAGATAATCGGTGATATTCTTCAGTACAGGATTTTTCGATGACAATCCAAACGCCTGTGAAAATATAAATAAAAACATTTCCATGAAAATTATCTGCATTAATCAGCTACGAATTAAAACTCATGCAACTTGTTCAACTTCCTATACATTTTGCATGCTTTTATTTTCTTTATTGTCATCTTCTTGCTTCGCTGCATTATCGTCCTTCTTCTCGTCGCTCCATAGACCGACCCTGTTGTCCAAATTGTGAACAATTTTGGCACTTAATTTGATGTCGTGTCTGACTATCTGTTTATGGGACGTCAAACCATTCACCGTACGGATGCGTCGTGACAGATCTCGATTCACTATAGCACCAAGCTCACAGTCCCTCAACTATGCAAAGTATATATCAATTAAAAATACTTATTTTTCTCTTTTACTATGATAAAGGGTGTAAACTTACTCGAATATTATTCAAGCTCCAACATATCTCTTTTATGTTTACTTGTCTTTCAAAAGACACCCATCCTCTTCTAAACCATCTCCTCTCTGGTTGAGGATCCGCTATGGCAACTCGTAAGAATCCAGGGAAGCGTTTGCACATCTAATAAATTAACTTGTTTAATTATGCAAAAGAAAACTTATTTAGTAAATAACTAACCGCTTCGACTTCTGCCTTTGTGATTGTTGGAGCTAAATTGCGAAGGAAGATGCTACTGGTTTTGTGCAACGCTCTAGGTTCTTTCTCTTTATCTTCACTGGCTAGATCGATTACAGCTTCCGGTTCCATCGTGGACTTCTTAGCCTCTGACGTTTCCTTATCGGGTTTAGCTTCGCGGTCGTCTTCTTTGCCATCCTGCGCGTCCATGTTTTCGTTATTCGTGTCTGTCTTTTCGGTCACAGCTGGAGAACAAACGATTAGATTATAAATAGCAATTCTACGCGATGATTGTATCATTCGAACTTACAAGTTTCTGCTTTAGGCGTGTCAGCTTTGTTGCTGTCGCTACCTGAGGAACTACTGCTACTACTACTACTGCTGCTGCTACTGTTGCTATCGGTTCGTTTCCTTTTCTTAGCGTTGATTTCCTCTAGTTTAGCTGTTTTTCATCATAATAAAATTTAGAATCACGATCAAAGACAAGTTATTTAATTTTCAACAAAAGTAGACGTATACCTATGCCGTCCATACCATCCTCCTTCTTTGTTTCTTCTACATTCTCTTCTGATTTCTCGGCCTCTTCTATCGAAGTTTCCTCCTTTTCCAAACTCTTCTCATTATCTACAGTCTGACCGTTTTTCGTTTTCTCTACCGGTGAAGTTTCCTCTGTCTTACTTACATCGCTGTAAAGTTAAGTTAAATTAATATCACTTCTTGGACAGTTTTCTTCCATTAATTTATCATCGTACCTGTTCTCCACTTTTTTATCGCTTCCAATTTTGTTCTTTATATCTTCTTTATCCTTATTCGTATCCTTCGATATAAGAGGATTCGTTGGTTTTACCTCTAACACCTGCAAATCTTCTTCAGTTCCACCTTCCAATTTAATAACCACAGCATCTAACAGATGTAACAAGGCATCAGCTTGGTCGGCGTCGACGGAAACTTTGTCTATTTCTTCCACTTCAAGCATTTCCAAGAAAACTTCGACCCGTTTCTATGGAATAAAATGATACATTGACAAAAACAATAAGTTGAAATCAATTAGAAATCAGGAAATTGTACCTTAAGCGCTGACACTTGTTCGTCCTTTCTCTTTACCGACTCTTCAGGATGATATTTTATTTTGAACCTAATAATCGACAAAGAAAGGTTTACATCAATATCGAGGTTAAAATAATTCTTCATCAGTTAACGCAAACGAACAATATCCTACTGATGTGTGTTTGAAAAAAGTTGTATGAAAGTTCAAATAACTTCTCAATATAATGTTATATTGAGAATATATCCTCTTGAAATCGTTCATAATTACATGTATAATTGAGGTAAAATCGTATGTTTGAAAAAATCTGTCGCGTTAGGCGTTGGATCGAATACAAAGTTATTACGTTTCCCATCCGTATCTAGAGCGAATCATTCCTCGTGAATAAGCATTACTTCTATCCTTTTTCTCGAGACGATTATAAAGAAGTTATCATTTCGTACTGTCAACATTGTCAGTTACAGAATGAAGTCTCACCTGTATTCTGATACTTTTACTCGTATTCAGTTTTCTCGTCGACACAGAGGTCTATCATGATAATAGCGTATTTTCTCAAATGATAGAAATAATTAAACGGGTTTAGAACGCGGCCTACCACGAGCATGTTTGGGCTTTGCGCGCCCAGCTCGCATTTCTATTTAACTACCTAATAGACACCTCGATTCTTCTGTGATGCGCGATACGCGGTATACATAAAATATCGTACGAAAAAATAAACGAGCGAGGTGACCTGTGCCCAAGGCATAAGACGTGGCTGGCTGTACGCTGTAGGGATAGACAGAGCTGGTCATATTGCTTGCAATTACCGATAAAACTGTGTCTGCAATTTAGCAAAAATTATAAAACTACTACACCCTCGCGTCTTTCTGTCCAAAGTACGTACGCACCTACGCGCATACGTGTCTGGACAGAGACAATGGTAGTTTAATTAGGATTTATCAATTACTTTCTACAGTGAATACAATTTTCAATGCTACTTTCTTTGGGGGAAAAAAAAAAAAACACTGACTAAAAATTCAGCATTCGGATACGTAGAAAAAAAAAGATGAACATTAAACCACTGTAGAAATTAATTATTCTTATGTCCACAATGAAAGTATGACAGCTCTATGACAAACTGCGAACAATATAAATAGATTAGAAGAAGAAAAAAATGAAATATACCATTCCTCATCCTTGTGCGCAACGAAGAATTCGTTCAACTGTTGTCTCCTGAATTCCAATTTATATTCATTATACCGCTTAATTGCTTCCTCGTCCGTAATCGTATCCTCCTGTGTTCCAAGGAACGCTTTAAACGACATCATTGGAGGTTGAGTTTCAACATTGGAATTGCTGAAGTTACCGGCAACCTCTCGACTGCGTAAAGTATAAAAAAAGAAAGAGATTATAATTAATTAAACGACGGAAAATGTGTAAGCGCTACCTCAGACGAGCCAACAATCTTGGAGTAAATCGACTCCTCTTTTGCATAGTTACAGTACAACCTCTTTTTTTCATGACAATCCTGTTCATAAATCAAGAACAAATTCACAAGAAAAAAAGAACATCTCTACAAAAATGACATAAGAAACACAAACCTGCTACTGTTACCATGGTTTCCATAATGATGATTACTATGGTGTGGAGGTGGATAGTGATCGGGACCCCAAGAGGTTGCACCGCCTGCTCCACCTCCATAATAATCGTGCCCATATCTTGGTCGATCATCCCAATCAGCTCTTATTCTTTTCATAGGAGGTGCCATTTCTTGAGATCTAGCAGGGCTGTATCTGTCCCTTCCTCCACCCCCTCCACCACGGTATTCTCTGTAATCTGGACGTTGCCTGGGTCGACTGGACCATTCTCTGGAATAATTGGTGCTGTTAAAATTACAAGAAGCTGCTTATACCATAGTAGTTCTTACTGGTACCCTAATATATTCCTTATCTGTCAACGAATACTTAAGTACTTGTAAGCCTGATAGTTACCTATCAACCCAATCATCTCTTCTTCGGTCATCTCTGCGGCCCTCTCTAGAATAGGATTCTGTTCTTTCTCCTCTGAATTTGTCTCTTCTTTTTCTATCGTATTCGTCATCGGAGTCGGCCATAATGTAAGAACTTAATGCTTATTCTGAAATACGTGCGATACAAAGACTATCAGTTCTAAACAAATACTGTTAGCGATCTTTGGAGTTGTTCTACGTCGACTAGGGGTTAGGTATACAATTAAAACGTTTATCTCTTAAATGGTAATTCGCAAGTATTTTCAATCGTACTTAACTTGTGCTACAGTTTCTTTAAATTGTGTAACGACAAAATTTGGTACCAAACTACGTTTTATTGTTAATTATTCAAACGAAATATTCGAATAACGCGGGAATGCTACTTTTAGAATAAGCAAACGAGCCACTTTTCCTTAATTTAGCCAAGTAAAATAATCTGGCGGCAATAATGTACGCGTAAAGTAGTTAGTTGAAATGATGTTGAAAACAATAAACGAAACTTACCTACTTAAAGTACACCGTTGAACGAAATTAAAACCTTACCATAGAAGTTTTTCCTCTCATCAGGCTCTCCAAACTCTTGTGAATTTGATGCGGATTTTAGTTCATCCCTCTGTCCACTTGAAGCATTAATGTCGCTCTTATACACGCCAGTGACTACAGAGGCAAAAGACTGGACATGCCTTTGATTTCAAGGGGTTATAATTAGTATGCACTGAGCGCCACCAGTGATTGGGGTCCTTAATACCCCAGATGCCATAATGTCGGTATGCAGAGCATCACAGGTGCTTCGGGGTCCCTAATACCCCGATGCCCACAATGTCGGTATGCTGAATTTCATAGGTGCTTAGGGGTCCGTGACACCCCGGATGCTATAATGTCGGTATGTAGAGTATCACAGGTGGTTCGGGGTCCTTGATAACCCGGATGCCATAATGTCGGTATGCAAAGTAATACAGGTGCGTAGGGGTCCCAGACACCCCGGCGGATTCGTATCGGTATTCACTGAGCGCCACCACTAGTAGGGGTTCCTAACACCGCGCATGCCATAATGTCGGTAGTAGAGTATCACAGGTGCTTGGGGTCTCTAATACCCCAAATACCATAATGTTGGTATGCAGAGTATCACAGGTGCTTCGGGGTCTCGTACACCCCGAATGGGATAATGTCAGTATACAGAGAGAGTCAACGGTGCTTCGGGGTCCCAGACACCCCAGACATCGAATCAGGTCGTACCCATCACTATCCGGAACAATGGAGTTTCACGATTTGTTCGTTTTTAGGTCTTATATTTCGCTAGATCCGGTCATACCCATCACTATTCCGAACAAGCGAGTTTCACGATTTGTTCGTTTTTCGTTCTTATATTTCGCTAGATCCGATCAAACCCATCACTATTCCGAACAAGTGAGTTTCACGATTTGTTCATTTTTCGTTCTTATATTTCGCTAGATCCGGTCAAACCCATCACTATTCCGAACAAGTGAGTTTCACGATTTGTTCGTTTTTAGGTCTTATATTTCGCTAGTTGCTGGGGTCCCTGACACCCCTGTGGCATAATATTGGTATGCAGTGTAACCGGTACCTCGGGGTCTCAGGTACCCCGAATGCCATAGTGTCGGTAAGCAATGAGTGTCGTTGGTGCTTTGGGGTCCCTGACACCCCGGATGCTAAAATGTCGGTATGCAAACAGTATCACAGGTGCTGCGGGGTTCCTGATACCCCAGGAAGATATGTCGGTATGCAGAGATATTCACTGGAGCTTCGGGGTCCCTGGCACCCCGGATGCTATATTATTGGTATGCAGAGATATTCACTGGAGCTTCGGGGTCCCTGGCACCCCGGATGCTATATTATTGGTATGCAGAGATATTCACTGGAGCTTCGGGGTCCCTGGCACCCCGGATGCTATATTATTGGTATGCAAAGATAGTCACCTGTGTTTAGGGGTCCTTAATATCCCAATATGATATCAGGTCCGTACGAAGAGGGCACAACCAGTATAATTTTTTCCCGGAGTTTATTTAATTTACTTTATTTATTTTTTTTTGCTTATTAAATAAGCTCATCGAACGGGAATAACATTTATGATTATATCCCTCTGCCGGGTCTCAGCCGGGGACCCGATTTATTTTACTTTTTCGAGTTATTTATATAATTTTACCCCTCATTATAGGCCAACGCCATCTCAGTATCACTTACATCCCTGCATTCCTTTCAACCCAGCGTTCCTTACATTCCTGCAATCCTTAAATACCCTTTTTTTTTTTTTTTTTTTTTTAACGTGGTGGAAATCTTCAGAAAGACACCTTCAGCCCCCCTGGGGAGGGACCGGAGATAGTGTGGGATTTGTACCCACTAAAACCACCACGGTGGCCTGCACTAGAGCGGAAGGGAGGGTCCTTTGACCCTCCACCATGTGCCAAACTCCGCCGACATCAAGGGCCACGCCCGATGCCGGCACTCCTCGGGCCGCGTGCAGTGGAGACCGGGGCCCCAGCCCCGGGCCCCTACGGAATTCCTTTACATCCCTCGTTCCGTTACACCTCTGCATCCCTTACATCCCTACATTCCTCACATCACTTCATCCCCTTCATCCCCTACATCCCTACATTCTTTTCATCACTACATTGCTTTCATCCCTACATTCTTTTCATCCGTACATTCTTTTCATCCCTACATTCCTCACATCACTTCATCCCCTACATCCCCTACATCCCTACATTCTTTTCATCACTACATTGCTTTCATCCCTACATTCTTTTCATCCCTACACTCCTTTCATCCCTACACTCTTTTCATCCCTACATTCCTCACATCACTTCATCCTCTACATCCCCTACATCTCTACATTCTTTTTATCCCTACATTCTTTACATCTCTGCATCCCTTATAATAAATATATTATAAAGACTGCTTCGAGTGAAGGTAAGTAAAGGTAAGTAAAGGTAAGTAAAAGTAAGTTAGAATTTCGCGAAAATTTCAAAAAACAGCGCCCCCTAGCGGCCAAAATTAGAACTAAAATTTCGACGTCGAATCAGCGCCATCTGGTTTTGAAAAAAGGAACTAAATCAAGCAGCGATTTTGGCCCTCTAGCGGCAAAAATGTGAACTAAAATTTCGACGTCGAATCAGCGCCCTCTGGTTTTGAAAAAAGGAACTAAATCAAGCAGCGGTTTTGGCCCTCTAGCGGCAAAAATGTGAACTAAAATCTCGATGTCGAGTCAGCGCCCTCTGGTGGCGAAAAGGAGAACTAAATTTGTATAAAATCGCAGGCCTTATAGCCGCAAAAAATGCTGGAATGTATGGAATGCAGGAATATGAGTGATACAAGGATGTAAAGAATACAGGCATATACGGGATACAAGGATGTAAAGGATACAGGCATATACGGGATGCAGGGATGTAAGGGATGTTGGGATATAAAGAAGGCAGGAATGTGAGGAATGCAGAGATGTAAGGGATGTAGAGATGTGAGGAATGTAGGGATGAAAAGAATGTAGGGATGTAAGGAATAAAGAGATATAAGGAATGTCGGGATGTAAGGAATAAAGAGATGTAAGGAATGTAGGGATATAAGGGATGAAGCGATGTAAGGAATGTAGGGATGAAAGGAATGTAGGGATGAAAAGAATGTAGGGCTGAAGAGAATGTAGGGATGAAAAGAATGTAGGGCTGAAGAGTATGTAGGGATAAAAAGAATGTAGGGATGGAAAGAATGTATGGATGAAGAGAATGTAGGGATGAGAAGAATGTAGGGATGAGAAGAATGTAGGTATGAAAAGAATGTAGGGCTGAAGAGAATGTAGGGATGAAAAGAATGAAGGGATGCAAGTTTAGGAAGCAATAATTAATTATTTGTATATCCGACATTCGAATCGAGCTCATTATTCACTTTACTAATTAATTAACGAACCTACTCGCTTTAGATATTAACTGTTTGCTGAGAAAATTTTGTTCTTTCTCCAATACAAAAGTGTCTCTTGTCTATTTTTTTATCGTAACACAAAGGATTTTAATATACTTTTTCAATGTCTGTTTCTAATATATATAAATACGCATTCTGAGACAGCAAGAATGCTACATTGCCGATTAAGTACAAAAATTTCTAGGATTTAATGTTCACGGATTTTCCCAATATCCCGATAGAATCTCGTACGCAGGATATCGACGTTTGAAGGATCGTCGTTAACACCGCATCGATCTATAAATAATTCTGCGATCATGCAATTCAATTACACAATTATTCTCCGTTTACTTCGTTGCGATTCATAGAAATGCATAGAATCATTCACGCATTAAATTACAATGAAAAGTATTATTTATTGTTTCAATGGTTGACATGTTCACAGACATGGAAACTTTATCTAGAAATTTCGACAAGAAACACTGTCTCTTGATCGCGGAACTAAATCACCATTCCCAACATTCTTCGTTTTTTCTTAGCTCAATGTTGATTTTTAACTTAAAGAGTTATTCACAGTATTATAAATCACGTATGTTTTTCAACTCTTACAACTTTTGACATTCCGCCACGAAGCAGCTTCTCGGAGTGGCTATAATAAAATTAAATCAATAGGTTTGACAAACGTACACAGGATCAAGTTGCATCATTGCTGGAGAGGAATGCGAACGTAATATAATGTTGTGCACGTCGTCATAAATTCGAAGGAAGCGAGGCTAGGCTACCCTCCGATTTGCATAATCCTCCTTCCTTCTTGTTAAGCGAAACGTGAGGGGAATGGTGCATCTCGTGGAAACTCCTAAAGTTGGATGACGTAGTCGCCAGAAAGCCGGCCGGCTGACTGAAACCAGTCGTTTGTCTGCAAAGAAAGAGCTGAACAATTATTACTCATTGCCACCCACATCGTGGTAGCAGCGGCGTGAATCTTCGCGGTCGGGGATGATGCTGGCGTAGTGTACGATCCTTTCACTGCCGGGGGTATCCTTATATATAGAAGTATTCGATCAAAGCACGCGTTGCAATGCTTCGAGGCTCGTGTCGAACGACTGAGGACTCGATCATGGCGATTAGTCATCTCGAAAGGATCGGTATTGTCTTTTTCATCGCCACGATCATCTCTGGATCAGGTAACCGAAATAAATCCTGTTCCCTTTTTTTTCCCGTTTTCCTATAAAAGTTTAATTTTATGTTTGCAGGAGTAAAAGGTACGAACAATGGGATCGGCGGCTTAGCGTACGGTACGTATCGTAATTGGAAGCATACTTGAATTGAAATTGATAAATTCTTTATCGGGATGGTTTTTATTAAAATTCTTTGTCTAGGCGGCGCTTTCGCGTCCGCGAATGCTTATGCGAGCGCATCTGCCGGCACATCCGCGCTCGGTGGCATTCTTCCGGGTGTGGACGCTGGCCACGAGGGACACAAAGGAATTCGGAGCTACAACAGTGGATCCGCTGATAATCAGCCTGGTAACGGAGGCAAAGCCTGCCAGAAATGTAAGTGGGAAGACGACGATTATTGGGAAAAGGAGGAAGAGGAAACGGAACCGGAGGAAAGGAACGAAGACGAGTGCGATGACGGAGACGATGGCCAGTACAGAGATAAGTACAGCCACGGGCATGGAAGTAAAACTGGTTCCCCTGCAGGGATACAGAAAGTTGGGATTGTTACTCCTGGTGGTCAGGTGCCATCTACGGCCGCTGGCAGCTCTGCAAGTAGCGTGAGTAACGTAGGAAGTGGAACACCGTTTGGGTCACCAGTCAAACATGGATATCCTGGAAGTGGAAGTCCAACAGGAGGTTCTCCATGGAACAAGGCGTCCCCGGCCCCGGGTGTTGGTACTCAGGGACCATCAAGTTGGAACTCTGGCGTTGGAGCAACTCCCAAACCTAGTTGGAATCAGGGACAAAGCGGTTCGAAGCCTGGACCATTTGGAACTGCTCCACAAACTGGCAGTACCTGGAACACAGGCCCTGGAGGTGCGGCCCAACCGGGTGCACCTGGTCAGCCCGGTGGAAGTTGGAATAATAAACCAGAAACAGGTTCTGGATGCTCCAACAGTCAGCAACCTGGCTCGAGCTGTGCCCAAGGTCTGATATAACTTTAATAACCACTTTGGACGGTTGAACGAGCATAGCGAATGGTAATAGTGTATTATAAATAATTGTAAATCGATTTTCGATAAAGGTTCAAGCGGTGCTGGTCCTTTGAAACAAGTTCCCATCTCATTCGGCCCTGGAGGCAATACTGGGAACGTTCAGAAACAAGAATTTCCTAATTATTCCGCCGGAGGATACAGTCCGCAGGGATCTCCAACAGGATGTTCTGGTCCGTACAGCAATTGCGGAGGTGCTTCTCAACAAGGACAATATCCTAGCAGTGGATCGCCTCAAAGTAGTCCATCTGGACCATCGTATGGTCCAGCAAGTGGACCCGGAAAATATCCAAGCAGTGGTTCACCTCAAGGTAGTCCATCTAAACCATCGTATGGGCCAGCAAGTGGACCAGGACAATATCCAAGCAGTGGATCACCTCTAGGTAGTCCATCTAAACCATCGTACGGGCCAGCAAGTGGACCAGGACAATATCCGAGTAGTGGTTCACCTCAAGGTAGTCCATCTAAACCATCGTATGGACCAGCAAGTGGACCAGGACAATATCCGAGTAGTGGTTCACCTCAAGGTAGTCCATCTAAACCGTCGTATGGGCCAGCAAGTGGACCAGGACAATATCCAAGCAGTGGATCACCTCTAGGTAGTCCATCTAAACCATCGTACGGGCCAGCAAGTGGACCAGGACAATATCCAAGCAGTGGATCACCTCTAGGTAGTCCATCTAAACCATCGTACGGGCCAGCAAGTGGACCAGGACAATATCCGAGTAGTGGTTCACCTCTAGGTAGTCCATCTAAACCATTGTACGGGCCAGCAAGTGGACCAGGACAATATCCGAGTAGTGGTTCACCTCAAGGTAGTCCATCTAAACCATCGTATGGACCACCAAGTGGACCAGGACAATATCCAAGTAGTGGATCACCTCAAGGAAACCCACATGGACCTTCATACGGACCAACAAGTGGACAAGGATATCCTGGAAGTAGCCCAAGTAATACTGGTCATGGACCAAACACAGGTGTGCCTAATGGAACACCTGGAAGCCCACGATATCCAGGAAGTCCTCAAAGCCCTAATAGCATTGGAAGTGGGACTGCTTCGAGCACAGCTTTCGCTGGAACAAACACAGAAACATCAAGCTATCCAAGTGGAAGCACCTCTTATGAGGCTCCAAAGAAACCCACTTATTCTGCCGTTAAGGGGAGTCCTTCGAGGCCTGAAACTACGCCAAATGCATACGGAAACAAACCTAATTCTGGAAGTGGATCATTTCCGTCAACGGGTAAGCCAGCATTTGGTTCTGGAAATGCACATCCATCCACAAGTACGCCAACAGGTGTAGGCTCCAAACCTGGACGTCCTACTGCCAACGGAGAGAGTAATATATTTTATATAAATGTTAATCCTGCTCCGGGTAGTCCGGTCGGAGTGAAACGTCCTAAAGGTACAGGAACAACGAAGCCTGCTTATCAACCTGCACCTTATGGAGGTACTGGCACAACAAAATCCTCGTATTCCAGCGGTCCTCGTGGAACCTCTCCAGGCTCACCAGGAATAAACAACTATCCGTCGAACCAAGTTCCATTAGGCACACAACCAACAGGAGGCACAGCAGGTGGCTGTGCAGATGGCAGTCAAAATTGTGGCAGCAGTCCTTATGGGAGTTCTGGACCAACGAAGCCTACTTACCAACCTGCACCATATGGAGGTACTGGCACAACAAAGTCCCCGTATTCCAGCGGTTCTCATGGAGCCCCTCCAGGCTCACCAGGAATAAACAACTACCCATCGAACCAAGTTCCATCAGGAACGCAACCTACAGGTGGCTGTGCAAATGGCAGTCAAAATTGTGGTAGCAGTCCTTATGGGAGTTCTGGACCAACGAAGCCTACTTACCAACCTGCACCATATGGAGGTACTGGCACAACAAAATCCCCGTATTCCAGCGGTCCTCACGGAGCCTCTCCAGGCTCACTAGGAATAAACAACTACCCGTCGAACCAAGTTCCATCAGGAACGCAACCTACAGGTGGCTGTGCAAATGGCAGTCAAAATTGTGGTAGCAGTCCTTATGGGAGTTCTGGACCAACGAAGCCTACTTACCAACCTGCACCATATGGAGGTACTGGCACAACAAAATCCCCGTATTCCAGCGGTCCTCACGGAGCCCCTCCAGGCTCACCAGGAGTAAACAACTACCCATCGAACCAAGTTCCATCAGGAGCGCAACCTACTGGTGGCACAGGTGGCTGTGGAGGTGGCAATCAAAACTGCGGCGGCGGAGGTGGATGTAATCAAAATGGATCTCCGGATCACAAACCTTGTGACCAACAAGGTGCTCCTGTTGGCATTGACAAAATTTCTGGACCAGTAGGTTTCGGTGCATCCCCGAATGATTACTCACAGAGTTCTCAGCCAGTATTTCCTGGAGGAAGCGTTCCACCCTCTGGAGGCGGTGGACCTAGCTGCTTGCAAGGAGCCAATAACTGTGCACCTGGTTCCGGAGGACCATCGTACGTCGATAAGATTCAAAACGAGAATAAAGGTCCTGGAGGTGTTCCAGATGGATCGTATCAATGGAATCCCTTCCTAAGCGGAAAAGTCCCGAGTCTCGAGCACAGTAAATATCAGATAGAAACTAAATTCCCTTTTTGTTAAATCCACGTATCAGAACTTAAAATGTTTTAGGTGGTCCGTTTGCAACAACTACCAATAAGCCTATTGGCCAGGGAAATCCGTTCCTGACGGGCACGGCGCTAGCTGGAACCTGGAGTTCGGGAACAGGTCCTACTGGCACCGGAAACGCTGCTCCTTCGGCAGGAAGTCCCTCGAAACCTATCGGAAAAGACAATCCTTTCTTCACCGGTTTGGGAATCTCGCGAGGCGATATCCCAATTACCGACACAGATCACTCGCTGCCTGGAGGAGCAGGCGGTCAAGGAGGCGACAAGAGTGGTGGAAATCCATTTCTCAATGGTCAAACTGCACCGCAAGGCTCTGGATCCTACCATCCTTATCCTGGCACGGGCTCGAATTCTGGATCAGTCGGCGTTGGAGGTGTCAAGAGCCCGTCTGGAATAAATCGTGGCTTGGGAAGCGGTGGAGGCGTCGGAGTTGGCTCCGGAGACTTTGGAAAATTGTCTGGGCAAGGTGGAGCCGATCACGCAGGATCGTTCGGTGGCGCGTTTAGCGGCGCTCTGGCTTCCAGCTATGCCAATTCGAACTCCGGCTCGACATCCGGCCCTGCAGGTATGAATGACTGATGTAGAAATTGAAATAATAAAGGATAGTCGTTACGCGAATTCCGATTCCTCGATGCGTAACGGAAAACAAGATGTGTCGGATCGCGAAAGGTCAAAGGACAGGCATCTTAGATCGAGATTAATGTAATTGAATGAATGTAAAGTGGCGTGTGATGGGAAAATGCGTCAAGGTCCGCTGTCGAACACGGCCAAAGAATCATCGAGTACGACCGGTTGATTGATGAAGCCTCCCTCACAATTAAACATAAATCAGAACCACTGCTTGTTAATTAATGAGAATCTTTGATCACGTCGGATAGCTTCCGCTCTCTTAACGTACACAACGTTGCGTAATTCAACGTTATAAACGTAACATTGTTATCGTATGTAACGTAACCTTTTGTATCTCGATTACGACGTTTCAATTATCTCTATAACTTTTAATTAAGCAATGGACTGCTATCGAGTACTTACATTTTTTATTTCTCAAGGTTTTCTCTGTTTCAGAACCCAGTTTCGGGCAAGGGAATAGCAGAAATTGGGGCTCCAGCGGTGCAGGAAGTCAAGCTGGTACCGGTTCCTGGGCCTCCAGCGGCGCATCCGCTTACGCGAGCAGCAGTGCCAACAGTAAATTCCAATAAACTTTCCTTTTATCGTTTTTATTAACAGTCCATAAGTATGTTTCTAAAAGAGCGAACATCGTTTCAGGCTGGGCAGGCGCAGGTGCAAGTGCAGGTGCAGGTGCAGCTGTGAAAGGATAATTAATGAAATTAAAGGACACTATCGAAAATGGAAGAAGGGGACGTTTACAACTAACTGGAATTAAATTATATTTTACACAATTTGTTTAAACGAGCTACGTTAAATTGTACGTTTAATCATAATTTATTTTACTTACTCATCGTTTTTAATCCCGTGCAGAATAAATTATTGTATTTTTCATGGATAGGATCCTGTTTAGCTCGACAGTTAATGATTCTTCGAATTGATTGCGGTATAATTATATACCGATCGTTATCGATAGTCAATAAATAATGATAGAGCCCATCAGGTGGTTGAATTTATAGACGAATGTGAGTTATTGCTATAGGAAAATAAAAGAATATAAACAAAGAGATCCTTTTCTTTGGAATTTTTTTAAAGTAATATAATCTTATTTTTTTGTTAATTGATTGAACGATAAAAGAACGTGTTCCAAATAGAAATGGATATATTTAGAGGTCTATTTCAAGCCTGTAAGCATCAATTATTTGTAATTTCAAAAATGATTAGGATGCCAACAGTTACCGATCCGTTCTACATGTGTAAACTCCTGAATTATTCATAATAGCATTGAACGAAGCGCGAATCTGTGGTTAAATATATCGATGGTGTGGTAAGCAACGAGCTCGGAAGACGATTTTATCAGTCCTCGAATCACATAAATATGCAACACATTAATATTGCTAATAACACGTTCTAAATTACCTCTACCTTGAGAATCTCCGCTCGTGTATGTTCTTTAAAAAAAAAAGATTACAATTAAATAACGTTGTATCGAGAAAACGGTGGGATTGCATAACTCTCGTTCTGTCAATTTTATCCTTAATAATAACTGAACAGCATGTATCGGACGTAAGTATAAAGTTTAACGGATGTAAGGATTAATTGTTTATTCGAGTTGTACAATTTACAAAGAACGCGCAGCTGCGCTTTTAAAGCGGATGTTAGCATCGTCCTAGATTCGCTTGCGAACGTTAAGCATAATGATAGCACGCGTTTAGGTGATACACGATACGAAAATTAATTCGTAGATATTATTTCGAGACTTAAAAAATGTACGAATCACAGTAGAAATTACAATTGATCACGGATGCGATCTTGCTCGACTTCGAGGGAAGTCATCGATCGTGAATCGATCTGGTTTTCTTCAGAGATGATTTACGGCACTTTGCCCGCTGACACTTTGTACGTTCCTTTTCCAGATGAATCGAGGTTCGCTGAGCTGCTACTGTAGACACCCTTCGCCTTGTCCACGGAACCGCCCTCGTTGGCGCCCTCGTTGATATCGCCCATCCGGTTCAGCAGACTAATCAAAATGTAATCAGTAAATTAATTCCCTTATTCGCATTCGTTTTATTAATATAAATAATTGAACCTACGGGACTCCATGGCCGTCTAAACCGTCGTATCCTCCGAAGCCCCCGTGGCCTCCAAGACCGCCGGCGTTTGCGTTCGCATTCGCGTTCGCCGAGGCGCTCGCACCTGCAAGTGCATTCGCATGTGCACTTGCGCTTGCGCTTGCAAAGGCGTTCGCATTCGCGTTCGCGTTCGCACTGGCACTCGAACCTGCGTAACCGCCTTTGCTACCGCCGAGGCCGCCACCACCAGCACCAGAACCGCCATATCCGCCACCACCAGCACCAGAACCGCCATATCCGCCGCCTCCTGCGCCAGCTCCGCCGTATCCGCCGCTTCCGGCACCAGATCCGCCATACCCGCCGCTTCCGGCACCCGATCCGCCATATCCGCCGCTTCCGGCACCAGATCCGCCATATCCGCCGCTACCGGTACCACCACTGCCATAGCCGCCGCTACCAGCGCCAGCACCACCGTAGCCACTGCTACCGGCGCCTCCATGACCACCGCCATAGCCCCCAGCACTGCCTCCTGCTCCGGCACCACCAAAGCCTCCGGCACCAGCACCTCCATGTCCACCACCTCCGGCACCACCACCTCCACGTCCACCGCCTCCGCCTCCGCCTCCAGCACTACCATAGCCACCGCTACCAGCGCCAGCGCTACCATACCCCCCGCTACCAGCGCCAGAACCACCATAGCCTCCGGCACCAGCACCTCCATGTCCACCAGCTCCGGCACCACCACCTCCACGTCCGCCGCCTCCGCCTCCAGCACCACCATAGCCACCGCTACCAGCGCCGGCACTACCATAGCCCCCGCTACCAGCACCTCCATGACCATAGCCCCCAGCGCCGCCTCCGGCGCCTGCACCACCTCCAGCGCCAGCGCCACCTCCAGCGCCAGCACCACCCCCAGCGCCTGCACCACCATATCCATAACTTCCAGTCTTTACTACACCACCAGATCCTGATCCTGATCCTAATCCTGATCCTGATCCTAATCCTGATCCTGATCCTAATCCTGATCCTGATCCTGCTCCTAATCAGCAGAAAACATATGAAAATTGTACGTAGGTAAGAATGATGGGTTCCGATAAAGTTTATACAATATTTACCTCCGTAGCCACCACTTCCAGCGCCAGCGCCAGAACCACCATAACCACCGCTACCAGCACCAGTCCCGCCGTATCCTCCGGCACCAGAACCACCACCTTTTCCACCAGCGCTGCCGTATCCTCCTCCAGCGCCGGATCCACCATAGCCTCCGGATCCGGCGCCACCGAATCCTCCGGCACCAGAACCACCACCTTTTCCACCACCGCTGCCGTATCCACCTCCAGCACCGGATCCGGCGCCACCTCCTCCTCCGGCACCTCCGCAATTTCCGGAGCTACATCCACCACCTTTGCCACTAGCACCTCCGTGTCCTCCTCCAGCCCCGGAACCTGTACAATTCATTCTTTTAAACCTGCTCTCAGGTATGGGTATTAAAATTATTTGAATACTCACCACACAGTCCGGTGCTGCAACCAGATCCACCGCCTCCTAATCCTCCACCGCCTCCTAATCCTCCACCAAGTCCGCCTCCTAATCCTCCACCAAGTCCGCCTCCTTTGCCTAATCCACCGCCGGATCCGAAACCACCACCGCCTCCATAACCACCGCCGCCGCCGCTGCCGCCGCCGCCGCCGCCGCCGCCGCCACCACCGCCACCACCGAATCCTCCACCAAATCCACCTCCGAATCCTCCGCCTAAACCACCACCGCCACTGAGGGCTTTGCCCAGATCTAGATCAAATCCATGCGGACTACGTTTCGTCCTTGGTATTCTTATTTCTTCATCTAAATGAAAAACATACCGCGTGAATTACGTAATCTTAATTTGGGGATTGGAAAACACGACGAGAATATAACTCGGGGTACATAATAGCGTCACTTGTATTCGCGTCGCGCGGTGTGCAAATTTGACTATGTTAACGATGGCACTATTCTTGCTAACTCAAATAACCGAACATGGTAACGAGTGTCTAAAAGGAAAAAAGTTAGCGTTAAATTATAACTTTATAGTTTGGAATATTCAAAATTGCCACTAATATAACTATCACAATTACGACGGTACAATTACTCTTATATCTAACAGAAACGATTCGAGTGGTTTAGTAATATTAAAAAACGGTACCTTGCGCCTGAACGCAGACAATGGCCAGCAGGGCGAAAAGCCCGACCGTTCGATATCTCAGCATGATGTCGGGATTGATTCTTCTATTCCGATTGTTCGTCGGACGCTCATCTTTATATCGTCCCTCCCACTCTAATTTCCCGCGGCTTCCTGTAAACCGTCCTCGCTTCTTCGAACAGAGATCCGAGCGTGAAACGGCACTCAACGAGGGCAAAAAAACAGCCGCTGGCCAAGGCTAAGGTAAAATCGACGACTTATGCTTCTAATCTAAAGAGGATACTTCCTCTCCCTCCTTTAACTGATCAACGTCGTTGAACTTGAACATCCACGATCACGTGAAACGCTCGCATTCATTAACATTTTCGATGGAACCGTTTACAAAATAAAGTCCAAAACAAGATCCTTTCGGTGATTGATATAGAAGGAAAAGATTTTCAATCGGTATCCTGGATATCTATGTCACGTCCGTCTGTCATATCTGTCAGACGTGGAATCCTTGAGCCTGCATAACGAGGATCTTCATACTTTCTCGCGTATCCTTCGATGCATCTTTTTTTTTTTTTTGTTCATATATTCATTCATCCAGTGATTAGTACACTAAGCGATAAAAATAAAAGTAAAACATAGTTATCGAAAGGATGGTACGCCGCGGGGGATCTCCCAGATTGTGATAGAAAAAAATTCGACGGATAAGAATCTGTAAAATCAGCCGATTCGCGAATTACGTCATTGGAAATTTCGTGTACACGTTTCTTTTCTCTCTTTTCTTTGGATAGACGCCTCGCCGTCCGTCACTTAGCACGGTGCGAAACGTTTTCGAGGATGAACGAGGTGGGTACCGTTGGGTACCATCAATGTTCCCCTTTGGAATCGGGTATCAATTAGAATTCCTTCTGATCGATTTAACGAACGATACCCGACGATAATCGGACAAAAGTTTCGCTCGTATGACGGTAATGCCGATAACCTTTCGCATTGCGTTTTAGACATTGACCCAAATCGCATAACATTCCATCGATTACGTCCGAACACGATTATACAATTCTTTCCGCGTCTTCGATATCGCTAACGAGATTGTTTGTTTTCTTAGAAACGGTGCATCGCTTTCACGATTACCAAAAGATCATCGTTGATCCGGCATCGTTTTAAATATAAACGTCGACACAATCGGTTTTCCTCGATTTATCGCTTACAAGGACAGTTTGCGTTTTCTCTTCGCGCATAGAGAACTCGTTTGACCAGCTCGACTCGCTACAAACTTAATACGAATTCTGATATCGAAGAAGCGATTAACGGGTATCGCTCGCGATCGCTGCCGTTTCATTATGGGTATTTCCACGCGATTTTTTCACGAGATTAAACGAATCCTTTGTCCATATTGCCCTCGGGCTATCGTACCGTAAGGAGTTCCTTCTCCTTTTTTTTCTGTCGACAGTCTATAAAAGACGCGTTAAACGGTATAAATTAAGAAGAAGAAAAAAGACTCGCAAGTTCGGTGTTCGCTCGCGCACGTGTACATAGCTGGCTGTCGATCAACCAGCACGAGACTGATTAAAAGTATTAATGTACGTTTATTGCGAAATATCGATACATAATGTTACATAACGACGTGTTTAACGTTTACGTTACAGAACGTTACGTTAAACGATAATCGTTGTTGGCTTTTTTCAAATAAACGTACAAATTTGGCAATTCGAACGGGCGCTCGTACGCGCCAGGTACACGAATAAATTGTCGAAAATAACGGGTGTTACACATATCCGGAAGAGAAACTTGGATAGACGTATCTATCGGCGTCGAATACGCGCTTCTGAGTACGATTCTTTCGGTATAAAACTAATTCTCTTCTTTGATTTTTATATATGTATATATATATATATATTATCGATTAAATTCTATATTATAACAAAACAATCGTAATAACTAAAAAACAGATAACCGTTAAATTACTCGCATCTCTTTGTCGCTTGACGTTTACGTAGTAGATATGTATATTCATGTCGTCTCGTAGATTCTCCCGCCATAAAAAGAAATGCTTACCCGCATGGTGAACATTCTTTCCCTTTTTATCTATTGAAATCGCGTAGCCAGTCTTTGCGTAATATTGCCTCGAAAGAATCACGGTTAAATACGTAACAAGAAAACGTGTAAAATTACAAATCTTACCGATAATAGAGCGAGAGAAAATGTCTCCGCGTCGTTCGTTAATATTCATTTAGCAACGAGAAACAACGCTAGTACGCTAACGAAAAATTATTGTCTTTTCTTTCCATCAAGACACGCGAATCGCTAATGAAATTATGTTATATAAAATTGGTCCAAGGTTTTACGTTAATATCTAGCAATTCTGGACAGACGATTTTTCTATCCGTTTTCGTAAAAATGTTTCCAACGAACGCGATACGTCCGGACCTAAACAATGATTATTTATATCCCGATTATCAGCTAAAAGCGTATCTACGCGAACGCGTCAGTCATCAAAGTTCAAGGAAAACGACAAGAACGCGATGGGTTTTGATATCGGGCTTCGAAATGCAGAATCGGTTAAATGCATTCTAGAACATTTCCGATATTCGATTTGATTGTCGATCACAGTTTCGATCGCAACGATTTGATTTGAATTCACGAATAAGGCCGCAAAGTTTCATTTACGTTCGTCCCGTACACGACGAGTTACTTCCCTGACGGGTGCTTGAGATTTCTTCGCTTTAAATACTACGTTATAAAATTAAAAACCTTTGAAAACAACGCCGGCGTAAAATGCCAATTCCGTCGAAAAGTTTCTTCGCGTTAATATCCTTCCTTTCCTATGAAGTTTATCGACACGTGGCTCTGTTGGGTGGCGCTTCGGATCACTTCGATCCACCTGAAAGATCGTTACGTTTTTATGAATCAAAGCTTTCAATCGTATCGTTTCAAGAACGATCCTCACCTCCCAAAGGTGTAGTCGCTCTCAGCGCGGAAGAAATAAACGTGGTTCTTAAATTGTAGCTTAAAAACGAAATCCTTGTTGATGCCGTCCTTCTCGGACGGCGTGGTTACGGTGTAACCGAGCAACGGCAAATTAGCCAACGGGAAGTCGTCCCGGTGCGATTTGTAAAAAAACAAACAAAAATTCGTGAATACCACCCAGAGTTTTTGCCAACCGTTGCTGTTCTTGAATTTCCGTAGCAGAAATCCGCTGAGTTGGTTCTGAAAGGAGGAATACAATTCAGGTACACTCGGTCGATTAAAATCCAGAGACGAGGCTTTCGCATACTTGAAACGCTCGCAATTGATCGCTGTAACTGATACTGGTGTTTCGATGCCAGCAAACGTGGACGGTGGTGTTGCTTCGTTGAGAATCCTTCGCACCCCCGCAGCTTCCTCTGTCCCCTTCTAATCCAACACCGTCACCCATTTCGTCAGCCGAACCTGATGATCGATCAGGCGTATAATCAATCCATTCGATGCTACTCAACGATTAGGAATTATTAAAGCTTACTACAAGATCTCAGGTTCATGTAAGGCATTTTTGGATCGGCATCAGCTTGCGCTATGGCTTGAGACAAATCTTCCAACCATCTCTCCTTCTCCTCTTCGTTGCTAGCGGCAACCGTCAGAGATCTATGGAAATGTTTGGCGCAAAACGGTGTTAGATTTTGGCAGTTAGAAAGAGACTTAACGAGAAGCGAGAGAAAGTCTTTACAGGCAATTGCTCGCCGCCATAATGTTCAACGATCCATCTGGAACGTTTTACAAATTGACAGAACGGCTGGCTTAAGTGAACCCGCTATACAGCCAATTGACCTCTTAATGACCATACAGAGACTGTCCTTTTAACACCTCGTTACGTTAATTCACGATAATTCGGTTGAACGAAATACAGAGCCACGATCAAGGTACTCACTGATTTCCCTGACCGTCTATTACAAACGCAAAGTCTGATCCGGTCTTGTTGTCGCTTTCACGGATCTTCATTCCTTTCAACGGAAGCTGACCGTGCACCCGGAAGCATTGGGTCGGTTGTTGAGTACGGAATGTGTACAGTAATATGTCTGAGAACTAAAAAAAAGAAATTGAAAATTAGCAAACGCGACGATAGACGTTTGTTCAGTTAAATGCTCACCAAGAAAAACATCCTTTGTTGGAAACCTTTGCGACTATATTTCTGTAAGCAGCCCTGTCTAATGAATCTACGACCTGCCTGGACCAGGTTGTCGAAACCGCTGATGTCCCTTTGCATCTCGCATAACTGAACCAGATTCTCCTACGTTTGCAAAACCGAGAAAGGATGATTATCAAATGATTTCGAGTGTCTTTAAAGGAAACGATTGAGATACACTTACTGCTTGATTAATTATACTAAGACCTTCCAGCAGTGTTTCTCCTAATCGATCTCTAGCTGCCAAGCAATCCTCGAAATCTGTATGATCTTTCGGATAATGGTCTAATAATCCTAAACAGACGATATCGTTTTGATTAAATTTCTAGCTAGCAGGATCTCGGTACAGATTCTTTTTCTAAGACGACTCACTATCGATAATACTGTTGTAGTGCAACAATCGTTGCAACGGTTTTAAAAGGAATGAAGTTAAGGGTAGATAACAATGTTTCTGTGCTTCGAAGTCCCGGCAGAGTTGATCGAACCGTCGCGACGTCCTCGTATAATATTCCATCTTCTCGAGTACGGGTATTAGGTTCTCCAGATATTGATCGTAAAGCGGTAGGACGTTCAACAAGGTGTTGTAGAGAAAATCACCGATGTTGTGACGAGCGTTACTCTCCCACCGTTCCAATCTGGACTCCATTTCTTGAAGGCAAGGACCATGAACGTCCGCTAAAAGCTCGATCAGCGAAACAACCGCTTCGCCCTCTAATCCCGTCTCTCGAGATACCTCTTCTCTGAACCACTATCCGACAAAAATTGCAATTATTCGATAATTTATTACGATTTTTTATCCATCTGGTACGTACCACGTTTATCACGTCGAGGTCCTTCTTGTAGGTTCGTTCGGTCATCAAGAGTTCTTTCGCTATGTAGTAAGCCTTGTCGGTAGGCCATCTCTGTAAACGTTAACAGTGAAAATATTAATATCAATATTAACCCATTAACTGCCAAATTTTTATTTTTGATATTTAATATAATCCTATTGCAAGTGATAAAAAAAGATATATATATATATATTCAAATCCCCATTTGGGTTAAGGGGAGAGACT